CGGGCGGGAGGCTGAGGAGGCACCTGCGGGCGAGGGGAGGGGCCGGTTCCAGTCAGCGCAGCCGGGGCCAGTCGCTTTAGTAGACAATTTATTTTGATAAACTTGCTCAATAACAAAAATACAAGTGAAGAAAATTATGTTCATTTTATACAGTTTGTATTAACATTTGTTCGGAAATCATTAATTGAAAAATGTTCTAACCAATTAGAAAACAATCCTCAGTAAAGGCCGGGGCAGGGGACGCAGACGATCAGGCCTCAAGCAGGGAGCGACGCGACACCCAGGCAGGACAACCCGCTTGCAGACATTTCCTTCATTATTTTCATCCTTCACAAAGGTTTTAAAGGACAGCTTTCTTTTGTGTGTGTGTGTGTGTATTGGGGCAAACAGTAATCTACAGTTGTGTTCTGAAGTGGTTAAACAACGGCTCTGAAACACAGGTACGTCAGGAGGGCCCTAATCTGGCGGGTTTACTTCAGCAGGGTGGGGGTCCAATTACCAGCATCTTCGGGAAACTGGTATCACTTGCCAGCAAGATTAACAATGGAAAACAATGTTAAATGGTTAAACTGGTGCATTCAGGGAAGCACATCCTCCCCAGGTCAGAGACAAATGTTTTCCAGGCAATTATTTCAGCTGAGCGCAATGATAACATTTATACAGACAGATTAACTAGTTTTCCTTCTGAAGGGGTTTTAAGTTTCTGATGTCATATGTTGTTAGCCAAATAAACGACCAAGTGTCCACAAATTACATTATGATGGGACATCAAAACTTTTGGGGAATTTTGAAGCAAAATATGAAATAAGAGCCTCTAGTGACACATGAAATGAGCTGTCCTTCAAAAAGTTAAAAATAATGGCTGGCAGAATCAGAAAGGTTTATGTAAACACTCAACACAAATATGGGATTACCTTTGGAGAAGATTCATAGGGAAACATTTGCTTTTCATGAACTGAAAAAGTCTACAGATGTTTAGGCATGTTCAATACCAACTTCCTGTAGTTTAAAACAAAACCTTGTGCAAATAAAACCTATAAATAGTCTTCAGCAGATTTTACAGTGATGCTCTTAGGTATGAAAAGAATGCACACAACTTTAAAAACAAAAGTAACAGACAAAAGTTTGACAAATGATTGCACCATAAAACAGTGTTTTATATACAGTTTACAAGATATGATTTTCTGCTATAAATTAATACTGTACTCTATAGTACTTAGTGACCTTATTAAAAGCAACTGTTGACAGCTGTCTCTTCAATTACTGGGTGGTTTGTTGTTTTCTGTTTGTTTTTTGGTTTGGGTTTTTTTGGGGGGTTTTTTTTGGTTGGTTTTTTTTTTTTTTTTTTTTTTTTGTGTTGGGTTTTTTTGGGGGGGTTTTTTTGTTTTGTTTTTTTTTTTTTTTTTTTTTTTTGTGTTGGGTTTTTTTGGGGGGGTTTTTTTGTTTTGTTTTTTTTTTTTTTTTTTTTTTTTTTTTTTTTACACAGATGGCTGCATCTATTTCTGGACTTCAAATGCTCAAAAATTTAATCAAACAATCTGCTAGTTAAATCTCTGCTGTCATTTAATAATTCATAGCAAAAACATTGGCAGATCAGAGAATTTCCAGCCAGCCAGCCACAGTCTGGGTATAGCGTTTGTATTTTTTTATTAAATGATGATCCATTTAATCTAAGCCTAAATCCACTGTATACATGATGTTACTATAACTGAAATAAGTAAGCTAGGGGGAGAGAAATCTTAGCAGCTGAGAAACTTCCCCCCCCCCACCTGTGTTCCAGTTGCAAAAATCTCCTAGAACTATTTACAAGAGTGACATTTCTGAAAAAAAGCTTTTTTTTCCCCAACATAATTTATGATCTAGGTTTTAGTGAATAGTTCAGCTTAGGATACAGCAGGATACACATCCAGCAGTTGAACCCTGCATTTTTTCTCCACCACCATCGCTAGGGACCTCAGACTACCCATGCAGATGAAGGCTTAAATTAGGAACCAAATCATACTTAAACGATTACTTCCAAGTAGGTATCTGGCTGTATTTACAGATTAGAACACTTTAGAAAAATGTAGTGTTCTATAAACACTCCCCTCTACCTGTGAGTGAGCTGACTGAAAAAAAAAAGTCATTTATAGACTATTCCAGTGACAGGTTTGTTCAAAAATGTCAAAAGAAAAAATACTTAATTCAGCAAATAACCTTTTATTATTAAAATACCTTGGGAGGGGGAGAGAGAAGAGATGGAGGAGGATGGGGATCACTAGGGTCTGAATGGCACACAGTTTAAAAGAATTGTGCAAACTGTCTTATTTTCAAACACTTAAGCTTACCTGATAAGTGATTCTTTTGGAAACTGCTGATTATATTCTAGCAACAACCTCATTCTAAAATACACTTCCACTAACATTTTAGAAAAACGTCTATTTAGCAATGCAGTTCTTCTAATAAGCTCAATGAAACAGTGCTTGGAAACATACAATTTTTTTGTTTTCATAATGAACCTCAGGTAAACCACATATTAATGGGAAAATAAATACTGATAGTGCAGGCAGCTTTCCTGGGACACGAAACTGTACTTTCTGCAAGGTTAGATTGAGTAGTGAATTATGACACCTGTGGATTCAAAGGTTCATCCTTGTGTTGAAAAATAAAACTACCTTTAGTGAGGAATATTTACTCCAAATTTGGGTGGCCCTTAAATCCACATTTAAAGTAACAACTTTAGTAAACAAGGCATATATTATTTCAACAATTATATTGCTTGGGTTTTTTTGTACAGAGGAATTAATACTCAAATGAAAATCAGTTCAACCATCCTTGCAGTGGAATAGTGTTATAGTGTTTGCATTACTTTAAACACTGTATTTTACATGTGCTAGTGAAATATTTATGGTAAAATGCTGTGCTTGAACATGTATGAACAGTAACGTAACAATGCAGTAGAAAAAGAGACTTTCTGTACAACAGTTGCTAATAATTTAAATAGTGTCAGTTCCCAAAATTAGGATTTTAACTTTAAGGTATGACATGATCTCACCTTCTACCCTCATATACAAATAAATTACCATAAAAAGAATTTTAGCTTAACTTAAAATTGCACCTAGAAAGGCATGGGATCGTTTGTACCTATTACAAAAACTGTTAAAATCAAGGGCTGCTACAAAGAATGAGGTAAACTGAAGACTCTCAGCTATGTGGCCTTCAGAGAAATGGCTTTTTTTCTATTGAGTTCTAGTTTTGCACACCACAGTGTTTTGCTAGCAAAGCGTTCTGAGTTCTTTTCCAGGAACCATTTGTGTGTATATACATATATATACATATGTGTATATACACACACACACATACACACACACACACTGTATACTGCATCAGCAAAATATATATATATTTATATATATATTTATATAAATATAAGGAAGAAATCCCCCTCTAAAATGTTCCTTAGTGTTTTTCTAGAGCTTATGGGGGAGGAGGGGATGTATGTCTTCTTGCTGTTACATACATTTCGAGAACGTGTTTTGATCTATTGGCTTCTTGGTGCAGTAATGCAAGATTGATCCACATTGGTGCCAAAGGCTTTGCTCATCAGAAGGAAGATGTAAAACACTAATCTCCTAAACAGCGAGGCCAGCCTCACTTGAATTCCTTTGCAACCCTCTGGTCTACCACAAAGTTCATAAATACTTTGACTTCCAAATCGTTAGACGTTAAAAACAGGAACAGTACAGTAACATGGGGCATTATGCTTCTCAGTGTAAAGCATTCTTCACTAGTTCCTATCACAGTGCAGACCTGACTGCATTAAAATATGCTCAGGAGATTAGTCAACGTTGTCTGTATTTGGTTATGGGAAAGGCTCTCCTTTTTTCATCCAAAGTGCATAGTGAGAACAAGTCAAAGCATTCCTCTTTTCAGTAAGTGTTTGATAGTCTGATCTAGGCATCCTCCCGAGAATGCAATTCTGACGTCTTCCTCTTTTCCAAAATAAAGTCCTGTAGTTCAGACATTCATCAGCCAGGTAAACAAACTTTGCCAGCAAATAGAAGTCCCACTATTGTAAAGAAAATGGATAAGACGAACAGTACATACGAAGACCCAACCACTGTGTTATTGGGTAATTTATATGGTTGACCTCCAACTTCATTGATGTAAAATCCTATTGGAAAAATTAGGGCTGCCATACAGAACAGAATCACTGCAAAGAAAAGAGAAAAGAAAAAAATGGTCACTGCCATGTTAAATTCAAAATATTTACATGTTCACAGAGCAGTTCAGAAAACCAAGCAAAGTGTTCTGACCAAACTGAAGAGCTGAGATATTCCAATGCCTGACTTGCTTGAAATGACTGAGTAGGCTTTATCTTGCTTTTAAAACATCCCTCATCTACTCCCAAGAAAGACTAAAAGGCTCCAGCTTTGACTGTAATTTCAGTCCTGCTCACTAGATCATGCACTGTCTTTATAGAATAAAAGTCTGGTGGATGTACTAATACTACCATCCATAAGTTTAGTCACAGAGTTCATTACTTCTCCAGTTATTTTGAAGTAATTTTCCCCCAAAGTTAAGACAAACTAACATTCAGCATTGAAGAAACTCCTATTATCAGTCATCTTTTTCAAACTGTAGTTTCCCTCTCCCATTCTTCCACACAAATTCCTTTTCTGTAAAAGTTTTGCTAAAAATATTAAGCACACATATTGTCATTACAGTTTCTTCTAGATTAAAAGATACCGGTTTCCTAAAGTTATATGAATGTTTCCTTAGGTAATGAAATATCCTTAAGATTTCCCACTGGAATACAAAGAAAGTTTTTTTGATTCAGTTTAATCTAAGATTCTTAGTGAAAAACTTCACATTCGGACTCCATGAACCAAGAGAACCAAGCAATGAGGCTTTTTATTTCACCTGAACAGTTAGACTTATGTACGTGGTTCATGCTTACAACTGATTCTGTGTGGATGTACAAAAAAGAAACCAGAACTCTTCTTAAAGCCATTTGTTAGAATTACACTGTGGATTTCACAGGCCTTCAGGTATTGAAGGTGGCCAGCATTCCTCACAGCACATCTCAGTACTCTGATCAAATCCAGGAGAGAACAGCCAGTGTTGTAATCTTTCCCAAGGGACAACTTCAGAGTTCCTGTAACACACCACAGGATAAGTAGCCCTCTTTAGTTTGAACGTAGCGATACGCAAGGCTCTGCTGTCTCAACCAAGGGAATCACTTCTAAATATGGCTCCTCTAAGAGGCAAGACAGTCTTCACAATAAAAAGGATTAGCTTTTGAATTGGTTTGATTGCATATGCAAGACTTTACATCAGGGGTTTTATCAGTATTAGAGTAACACAGAATTTTATCTGATTCTACCAGTTTGGTCAACTATTAGTGCTTTACTCTTATTTCACTTCTATGTATTTCAACTTTGTTTCAAACGTTATTTGCTGTGAGTGGAACATGGCATCCCTATACCCATTATTCAACCAAATCTAAATAATATCTGGGGGGAAAGAGGGGCTGACCCTGCTGTATTCTCCCACCAACCCTAAAAACCCCCAGACCAGCACCTCCTAACGTGATGCACAGCAAACACTGAAGCCTCCCCAGGGCCTCAAAGTCTACCTATAAACCTAGCCACATGAAAAAGGAAAATTCAAGCCAAGTTACAATGCTCCTGCCTGAATAAAGTGCACTACATGCTATTTTTTTCAGTGTTCTCTCAGTTAACAGAGACTGCTGCTTTTTGTTTGTTAGTAAGGGACACAGGGGCTGTCCTTGTCTCCCCTTTCTCTTCTTCATCACTAAGAGACAGAACAAACTCTGGGGATGCTGCTCCCTCCTTGAGTTTCCCCACAAGTCAAATAAGCAACAGTAAAATCCACTGGCAACAGTAATAGCCATCACCTTAATCGCTGGTTCCTGTGCAAGCCAGCTGTGCTGCAGCTGCTTTTGTTTCCGAAGCTACGTAGAACAAATTCAGGAGCTCGCCTGTCCCCTTTGGCCTTACCAGGACAAAGTCTCTAGTCTTTCCAAATGAGAAAATGATGAGCTGGAGCAGCCTCAGTATTTTTTAATGTAACTTCACTACTGCTCTTCCTGAATAAATACACATACTCTGGTTTATCCAGCTACAGTGCTACACGTCCATACTAAAAACTTTTTTTAACAAACTCCATATTTATCCAAGACGAATAGTTTATCACGTATTTTATATCTTAATGCTCAAAGCTTATGATTTACATAGCACAGGTCTCAGCTTTGAGGAAAAAACAGTCATGTTCTATAGAAGAGACTAGTTATGGGCATGATAAATCTGAATTCAAAAAGTGTCCAAGTAGAACTTGGGCATAAACAAAAAAGGACAGTCTTGTAAACCATGATCCACATCAGAACATCAGCTGCATCTTGCTTTCCAAAACACATGAAGCAGCTTTCACAACACCTTGAGTCAAGAGCAGCTACCGCCAGGATCAGCCTTTCTTTCAGCTGACAATACTGAGCAGGAAGAAATCATATGTTCCACTAGAAGGAGCTCGTGTCTCGCCTTTAATGTAACAGCATCAGCAGACTTTTTTAAGGAGTGAAAAAAGCACAAACAAAAAACATCTGGCAACTGCACAGTTACTACATTCTTGCTCAGTGCTACCTCGTTCGGCCATCTATTAAAACAAAACCAAAGAACCAGCAACCAGACATTAGACATTAAATAATCTAGAAGGTTTTAATGTACACAACTATTGGTCTGTGTAATTCCACACTACAAAATCTAATTCTTAAAGAATGTTTCCCTTTTCTTTTTGTTTGTAGCTGAACCAACAGCTGGTCCATCTGAGGAGAGAAAGCCTGGGTATGTGTTTCTTGAGCAGATCTGTGTAAGCACAGAAGAGCTCTCTACTTGAGTGGTCCAGAAAACAGTGGTTGATGTGTGATTAGTAACGCAACATACAATTAGTAACAGTTTGAACAATATTCTGAGGATGAGTCACATTAGCATAACTCAGCACGCTTCCTATTACATCCAGTTTGTCCCTGATGAGCACTCCAGTTATTTAGCAAACTTCTGTTACATTTTAAATATAACACACTTACAGGAAATACCTTTAGGATTCTGAAAACAACCTGCACTTTCAAGATTAAATCTTCTGTATTACATTCAAGAACTACACAGCTGGAAAAGTTCTGATGGCCTCATGGGTTTTTATCCCACTCTACTAAACCACTGTTCTTTGAGGTGCGTTGTACACATGTGCACCAGTGCTCCTAGGTCTGAGACCTGCTAGCAGCACTGTACCCCCCAGCGGAGCACGTGCCCAGTGTCTCCTTGTGTTCCTGCCCAAGGACAGAAGGGTGCAGATTCCTCAACCCTCCACCAGTTCACACTTAATGACTACAATTTCTATTAACAAAAATATTTAGGTAACAAAACACAATCGTTTCTAGTCTGCTTCTGAATGGTGGCTGTCAAAAAAAGATCTAGTCCCTAGAATTCTTTACCTAGAAATTGTTTTGAGCAGCCAACGACAACTTCAAAAATCCAGGATACAGCATATTAAAAGAATGAAAAAATTATGGTCTAGTCTTTAGAGGGATCATTGCAGTACCTGCTTGCCTCTTTAGAGATGCATAACATAGAAAGCAGCACCTGGCACAAATCTTTAATAACTCAAGGAGCACCAGGGAACACCAGGAACAGACGTTTGCAGGATAGCTACTGTTAGTTAAGAATGTGATTATCCTGCCCCATTTTCACTTGCATTCCAAAAAGCAAGTCCATTATACTCATTTAAATTCTCAGGCAAAAAGAATAGCAGAGTCTGGTAACTGCTGGAAAAAAGGTAGAAAAAATCATTTTTCTGTCCAGCATCTCCTCCCTTGATACACCTCAGAAAAGCATCCAATTCAGTGGTAGCAGACACAGAATTAATTCCCTTTCTAGTTGTAGCAGATGGTAAGAGACCTGAACCTGTGTAAGATGTAAACAGATCTTGTGGGAGCTCTGTGAATTCCTGCAATAGCCAAGATTGTTATAACATACATAAGACCACCTAGGTGGCCTCCACAGAGAATAAGCTCTGGACCTTGTTTCTAATTATGGAACCTACTTGAGATTTACCATAGATTCACCACATCCTATTTTCTAAACCAGAAGATGGCATAACAAGCACCCTGAAAAGGCACGGGGTTTACATAAATTTGAAGTAGGGCTAGCAAAAAAATGAGCAGTTTCAGAGATACATGGCACAATACCAAAGCCAGGTTACTTTTTTGCTAACTTATCCCACTATGTCACAAGGCACAATTAGTGATGAAGTGGTATAGAAGCTGGGATGATAATAGGCAGTTAGCTCACACTTGAGCAACTGGTAAATAATACCATGCAAAGGAACAGCCGATCAGATCTTTGGTTGCTATCAACACACAAGGCACAGCTATGAGTTCACAATACCTCCTTTATTGAAGAAGCACACAAAGACCTGGGCAGTGCACAAATGAACACCAAGAAGGAATCCACTCTCCTTTACATTGCATGAATTTGGTACCACACTTAACAGGACAGGTTTTGGTAGTATCTATGCTAGGAAGAATTCTATCACATCAGTAGGAACACTGTGATTCTTGAAAGACTCTTCTCCATAGAAAGCAAAGGAAAACTTTCACATTCGCCTTTAGAAGACCCTCATGCAGTATGACCTGGAGGAGGGAAATACCTCTCCTCTCCACAAAGCTGTTCTGCAGAGAAGCCAGAAAGACAAGTTTCTGCGCAGTAAAACCACCAATGGCTGGGGAAGGATGCAAATGCTGTGCTAGTAAATACTATCTCGAGTGTATCCCTTTAGAAGTGTATATGGGAAAAAGAACCAACAAATCAAACTTTTGTCCTTCCTGCGTCCCTTAGCTAAATAAGACAGACAAGACCACTCTTAGCAGTAATTCTTATTTATAGGTACACGGTTGAAAAAATCTGGAGTCATCCAAGATGACAAGATTACAAGCAAAAATTCCACGAAAAATATAAGCTATATATTTCCACATAAATTCCAGCAAGAACTGGGCAAGAGTGACCTCTTACCAGGTTCTCCTTGCTGCTGCCAGAGTTGCAAGGAAAGGGCTGAGCAAGAAGATCCCTTTGCCCTTAGATGATTTACTCTAGACCCCATTGCATTTGAGGAGAATGGAGCTGCCACTCCCAGAGGTGCCCTTGGCAGTCCCAGCAGACTTCTCTGCCTGCCTAGGATAGCACGTCCTATGTTGTGTTCAGAAAGTTCTGTAAGAAGAGTATCTGCTAGCAGCCTGTACTAGGCTTGCAGAAGAGATGTGGTACAACTATGAAGTTTTCCCTACCCCTTTCCAATGAGTTACACATGTTTTCATCTTACAGCACTGGCACTTCACAGGAAGGACCTGTTCATGGTATTCCAAGCTGAATCCACAAGGCTACATGTTTCCTAATACTAATCTACAAATAGGTTACTAATTTGAGTTGCCATCCAATGAACCACAGAAGTCACTCACATCACCTTTCTGAAAAATACCAAACTCTTCCTCCCATTCACTTCGTTTTTTCAAAAGTGATTTTTCTTACAAGTGAGTTAAGCAATAAGATTTCCCATCATACTTGTTAACAGGAATGCAAAGGTCACAGAGTCATATTCATTGGAGATGAATACCAAAGACACTGAATTTTAGAATTTTGGCAATGCAGCGATTATATCTTAATAGAATTCTGAATAATTCTGACTTGCAAAAGAACAAATTAGTATGTTTCATTATTAAACATCTCATAACAAAAAGGCAAGTGCTGAAATAAAAGAATGTTCTCCTATATTTAGACTTCTAATAATGGACCTGTTGCAAGCCCAAAGAAATCTACAGAAAAAAATAACCAGCTTTAGGATACCAGGTCTTTTGGCTGAACTAATCACAGTTGTAGAAAACCAAAGATGCAGGGATGTGATGACTGGAGATATTTAAAAAAACCATTAAAATATGTAAAGCCCAAAATACAAGCTCTGAATTAAGAAAAAAAAACTCAAGAAATAAATTGTGGTATCAACTATTAATATATAGTACTCCAAAAACCCTCTTTACCCTAGAGCTTTGCCTTCAGCTTACTGTAAGCATCTGAATTTTACATGGCATTTTGAGTTTAAACCCTCCCTGCATACATTAGATATACATGAAATATGTACAGATAAACAAGGGCACTGGAAAAGTTGGGATGAAATATTCAGTAATACTCATGTCTGCTATTTTAATCATTTGCTGGAAAATAAATAAAAGCCAATCACAACGGATACAGCATTTCAATAGCTCCATTGCCTGCAAGACCTGCACTGTTAATTTAATATGCTGTGTAGCAAAGTTGTCAGAAGGATGGCTTTGACTGTACAAGTGCCTCAGTGAAGTACTTTTGTTGAAGCTGAATGCTTTTTTACATTATTCCCTTCCTCAAAACAAGGTTAAATCTCATTCACATTAGATATCATTAGATGTCACAGAGTTCCATTAAACCTTATTTATGCCTGTGTAAACCACAAACTTGCATTTTCTAGTGTTCACACTACCTTTAGTGGTATGTCATAATTCAAGTCAATTTAAAAGCCCTCAGGTTTTGAGTTTTTTCATGCTGTCATCCCCACCATTAAGGCACCATTTCACAGTTGCGCTAAGCTTGTAACACACACCAAGAAAAGGAAGTTTGAAAGTTATTCCCCTTACTCATTATAACTGTTCTTCTATTGCACTGAAGTAGCCATAGGATTTGTTTCCCTGTGCGTAAACACAGGGCTGCTAGAGAAGGCTCAGCTGTGAGGAGTTATGCTGGTGCTCAATCAATTGAGCAGAATCAAGGGAAGCAGAAAAACACTGTTACTCCTCCCTCCAGCTAAAGCACTGCTGCGGGTCACTTATGGAAGCAAAAGTCTCAGTGCTGTGAAGCACAGCAGATGCTCTGCAGTGGGCAATCCTCCTGCATAGCCAATTAGGATGCAGATATTCTGAATAAAACACCCGCTGTGAGCATGAAGCAGCACTCAGCCAGCATCAACCCTGAAGGAGGTATTCATGACACCTGAAGTAGGGATGGATTTCAGACTGTAGTAAGTCTCAGATGTATCAGCTTCCTCAGGGAGGGAATCTTCAGTCGTTCCATTCTGTTAGGAATAACTCCTGGACATATGGGAGTGGGGAAATATGAAAGACTATCAGACACACAGTTCAGGACTGACCTCTTCTATCCCTACTTGTTTTCTTAGGTCAATTAACGGCACTGCCCAAGGAAGGTAAAGGGGTCAAACCTTCCTTTCTCTCACCTTGGGCCCACAGACTATTATTCCCTCTCAATTATAGTCACTTAAGATACCAAACCCTTGATTTTTGAAGAATTTTACTTTTCCCCTCAGATGTGGCATTTAAAGAGAAGGAATGTTTTGTATAGTAAGAGCCCTAGGCACTGCTCCTTGAAAACACTATAGTGTTATTATAGTGTATTTTAGACTCCACCAGTTTATCCTGCATACAGGTCAACTGTGTAGTTGAGGTCACTTACTTCCAGTGAAAGCTATCCAGCGGGCATATTTAGTAGCTTCTCTTCGCCAGTGGGAAGCCACCAGCAAACCACATGTGACAGTTAGTGAAATGATTCCCATAATGATGAAAAATAACGTAGTGACCCACTCAGGAGGCAGCCGTGGAGGAATACAGGTCCTGTCACGTCCATGGATGGTTTGACACTGTCGCACAAGGCCAACTGTGAGAGCACCTGAAAATACATAGCAGAGAGGCAAGTAAACTTTCAAAATCCTCTCTGAGGGGCGCTCAATTGCAAACCAAAGCTCAGAATTGTCCAAAAATAAGGGATTCTTTCTTTGATGAACCTTAATGAGCCTTTCAAACACAGAGGATGGGGGGGGCATGCTTTAAACATCTATCTTCACGTTCTTTCATCATACGCTTGCACAAGTTGAAGTGAGATGGCTGCAAGCTGTATCTGCTTCTCAAGTGGCAATCAAGGTCTAATCAAAGGGCTAAAGCACTCCTTTAAAGCCTGCCAATATCAGCTAAAGTGGTAGCTGAGTTGTATAGAGGATCACTCCCTCATCTGTGCAAGATGAAATACTTTTATAATCTAACAAAATGAGCTGCAGCTCCCTAAAATACCTTTAATTGTCCAATGCCTTTTTCCCTCATCTGTAAATACAGCTTTAATCCTCAAAGTCTTGCAGCAGAAACTGCATTTCATTCATATCAAGATTTTAAGAACGTTTAAAAAAAAAACCAAACACTTCTTGACAATAACTCTTTTAAGAGTCCCTCTATTCAAGGGACAGGTCAACCCTTCTGACAGCTAACAAGAGTTACTACACACACAAACTGGGATATCTACACCAAAGAGCTATCAAAAAGATCCTAGAAAATGGACAAGAGTGGTGCAGGAACCATAAAGTTTTACACAAAATGAGGTATTTTCTGTTAAATAAAAAAAAAATTCTGATTTAAAATCCAATTCTGTGCTTTTGAGACTCATAAAGAAGCTTTTAGTGAGCTTTAATAGTGAAGTTCTCTTTATTTGGAAAATTTTAGCCCAAAATTAACATGCAAGGTTAAAATCCATTTCTTGCAGTGTCTCTTAAACAGTAAATCCTGTATTTCTCAGTTTTGTCCCTTCTTCTGAACGGTTTTCCTAAATAATCACAATTGTCCTTTACCTAAATTAGGAGCAAAATCCAACAGTGGATAATATTAGAGTCAATATCTTCCTCCACAAACTATTGTAAGTAAATATTGTTACAGTTTGCCTTTTAAAATAAAAAGAGGGCACCTTAGAAACAATTACAGTAAGACTTGGAAGCTTAGGTTTAGCATGTCTTTTGGAGGTAGAAACAACTGTCAAACTTTTTAGCTTCTTTTAAAACAAAAAAAAGCATGAAACAAAGTAAGCCAACAGTCAAAAAGGTAACCAGGCCTAGCATGCACCTCCTAGCACCCTGGACCCAATTTCTACAAGTGTTCAGATCCTGTCTGCTTACACCTCAGCAATGAGAACCAGCATGATCAGCTTCTGAGCTTAAAATCACTGGGCAGAATATCACGTTTTATTACTTGTAGTGCTTCTGATACACTACTAGAGGATGAGAAAAACCAAGAGCTGAATCAGTTCTGTTGAAGCATTCCTGTAACCTTTGTTTGACTACGAATTTTTAGCCCTATTCAAATACATCCTTTTAATTACATATTCATCAACTAAAAGAATCAGAGGTGAATTTTCAGCTAAAAGTTGAAGTAAAATCCTTTAAAAAAGTGTCAGTTACAAACCCAACAAAAATTGGCATTTCCTACTCCAGATATACAGCAATCACGCCATTGCTGTGCACCAGGGTTACACGAAACTGAGCCAGGCTTACACAAGCAATCCTGCACAGCTCGGATACCTGCACAGTTTTACATGAACTGCTTCTCAGTTGCTTTTTCATAGCCTGCAATGTTTTCATTGTATATCAGCTGCTGGGGCAGAGGGGAGATGTGCATGTGTCCTTAGAAGTCAAGCTCCCTGCAACACACACACATTGCAGAACCTCATACAAAACACTAAGTAGTTTCCTGTCGTTCGGGATAAAGAGGCTATTCACTGCAGTATCATAGAACAGGAAATTAATCCCAATCACTCCACAAGACTAGGATTTAACAACAATTTTACTATACTTACAGTACAAGTAATTTTTTTTTCTAAACTGCAATTCTCATCTAAAGAATGACTTCCTAAAAATGACATCACACACTCAATAGATGTTTTCTGAATTCAGTGGCAATAATTTAGTGCATTTTTAACTTTGGCAAAAGCAACAGTGATAAGAACCACTGTGCTGGACTCCGTTCCATTTTGTGTGTTAACTGAAACTGAAGAACAGTTGTTGTAGATGAGCATGTGTTAGAAAGAGACAACTAACTCATCTTTCAGATGCAATTCGCAGTTTATATTGAAGACATTTTTCAATTAACAAGAGCACATTTAACATGTCAGATTCAGAGAGAACCAAAGCTAAGCCCAGTAGCGCCATATCTAGAGGAAACAGAAGAAAACTCTATCTTGAACTACTGTTTTTCAGTGCAATTTTTTTGCTGCAAACACCTACTTCTCCAAAGGCTGATTTTCTCAAAAAACCACAAAAAACCAGCAAACCCACAACTGAAAATGAAAACAAAGAGAACAAAAATCTCTGAATTGCGAGTACCAGGGTAGCATCCCTTTTGAAGATACAAGGATAGTTGCAAGAAACCACCAGAGCTGGGCTTCCTAAACATCACTTCTGGTGCCCAAGTGTGTCAGGTTTTTTTAATCAGAGTTTTAAAGTGTCAGCAATTAAATCTCAGGATCTGCCATTTTGGAGGAAAACCACTGAACTTTACTTTATAGTTAAGCTTTTGCTAGCACATAGTATTTTCTCTTAACCCTGCTTCATGGATTGCAAATTTGAAGTCGATAGACTCCACATTCAAGGTTTTGAACCTTGAGTCTACAGACTCTAGGGAGGCAAATGGAGGGCAAGAGAAGGTCTGTGAACTATTTCTATAGGTTTCACAAAGGTAACTGGGAGAAACAACCTCATTATGTGCTCATAAATTTAGTTAAAGTTCAAATTTAATTTCACCATAAAGGGATACCTCACTTGTGTACATAAACCGGGCAGAAGGAAATTAAATCTCATTGCTTGCTCCCATAGTGACAAATCTCCTGTTGAATGCTGACTCCTAAAGAAGTCTCTGGTGTGGAAAGAGTATTTATTTGCCACGAAATTCAAAAGAAGAGTGGGTTTACATGGTATTTTATTGTCTTGATCCCATTCTAAAGCAATCAAGCAACAGTTGCCAGGCAGCTGCCAACAAACTAACTTGTTACAGAAAATCTTGTTTAACCTTATCTAGTCTATCATTGAAAGGAGGGACAGAGATACTAAATTGCAGTCTCCTTCTGCCTGTAGTTAGAAAATAGCCCAACAGCCCATCTTAAGCCAGTCCCCAAGCTCCACTCTGATCCCTAGGTAAAAGAGGTTTTTAGTCATCCCTTCAGAATTCCAGCATAATTGCTGAAAATCTAAGCACCTGACACAGGTATAACACAAACAGCACAGCTAATGCTAGCAGCTTAGGCAGCTTAAAGATGGATACAGCCCTGAAACATGTGCAGCGGAGTGACGATGCCTGCTCATCCTCCATCCCCCAGTGCCCACACTACACAGCCATTGGGAGCTATCATGACAACCTGGAGATGCAGGGGGCTGCTCCCTTTCTCTTGTATGCCTCTCCCTTCATAGCTTCCCAGACATTATGCAGGTCAGTACTGCTAGCGCGAGAGGTGATGAGGTGATATTCTATAATTACTCAAAATGAGATTCAGCCATCATCAAAACAGAGAACGCTGCACTGAGCAGATGTCAGTGAAGTGGTCCTTAGTCTTTTCCAGTGAATCTATTCCCTAAAGTACCAGCGCATTTCAAACATATTAAACCTTCCAGTACTGACAGTCTGACTATAACCAGGACTCCAATTTATACCAGTGAAAGATTTCACAATCATATTCCTACACTACCCCACCCAACTCATCCAGACCACCAGTAATGCTCATTTTCTGACACCGCATATTTTTACTAGAATCACTAATAAAAAGACGCTTTAACAAATACACCAACATTTGGGAACATCACCTGTTTAACAATGAAGTTTCGCAAAACCATTGAGGGCAAGTGGGGAAAAGGCACCAAACCAAAGAAAGGCAAGCCCTAGTTCTTCCCCTTTGTGCAGATGTGCCGACCCACAAGTCCCACTCCAGCCCCGTGGTGCTGTGCCATCCCTCTCTCGTTTCCGTGGTAACTACAGAGCCACCAAGGAGGAATCACAGCTACAGAGAGAAACAAAGATTGCTGCAGTCCTTTCACTCCCCCACCTCTCCATCACTTCTGAATTATTAAAAGTGGCATAGCGATACCACGGCTGGAAAGCAGTAGCATAATAACGGCTATTCAGATGTTTGCTGTTCATCTATTATTTGACTGCCAGAACACACGGGATCAAGCGTGCCAGATGGACCCAGGAGCGGCACCACTGCTGTGAAGGGCTTACCACAGCGTAAGAAGTAACTCATATGGTAAAAGCACGATGCAGTGAAACGAGGTGGGGCTCAGACATTAGAAGGTCACAGAGCTCAGCAGCCACGCTGTCGCATGAACATACAAA